GGGGGGGTGGACTAGATGATCCCCAGAGGTCCCTTGCAACCACGAACATGCTGTGATTCTGTGATTCTGTGATGTCCTTAATGGAGAAGGCGCTGTAGCCCAGGGCATGATGTCCATGATGGCAACAGTGGGAGGGGAAACCAAAGTGCTGCAAAGTGCAGCGCCTGGGGGACCAAAGAGCCCAGCCTGAGTGTCAGGTGGTGGAGCCCAGGACGGGAACACCCCAAGGGCTGCAGAGCTGGACAGCCTTCCTGGGAACCCCTGAGACAGGATCACAGAATCACACAATCAGTCACAGCATGGCAGGGGCTGGAAGGGACCTCTGGGGATCTTCTAGTCCAACCCCCCTGCTGAAGCAGCGTCACCCAGAGCAGCCTGTACAGGACTGCGTCCCGGCAGGGTTTGAGCATCTCCAGAGAAGGAGACTCCATATCCTCTCTGGGCAGTTTGCTCCGGTGCTCCGTCACCCTCAGAATAAAGTTCTATCTCATGTTCAGCTGGATCTTCCCAGGCTTCAGTCTGTGCCCGTTGCCCCTTGTCCTGTCGCTGGGCACCCCTGAAAGGAGTCTGGCCCTGTCCTCCTGACACCCACCCTTAAGATATTTATCGGCATTAATGAGGTCCCCTCTCAGCCTTCTCTTCTCCAGGCTGAACAATCCCAGCTCCCTCAGCCTTTCCTCGTAGGAGAGATGCTCCAGCCCCCTCATCATCCTCGTAGCCCTCCGCTGGACTCTCTCCAGTCTTCATCTTGCTTGAACTCATTTTGCCCTCATCTTTCTTGAACTGGGGAGCCCAGAAATGGACACAGTACTCCAGATGGGGCCTCACTAGGGCAGAGTAGAGGGGGAGGAGAAGCTCCCTCAACCTGCTGGACACACTCCTTTTGACGCACCCCAGCAGACCGTTGGCCTTCCTGGCAGCCGGGGCACACTGCTGGCTCATGGTCAGCCTGTCGTCCTCCAGCACTCCCAGTCCCTCTCCGCAGGGCAGCCCCCAGCCTGTACTGGTGCCTGGGGTAGTTCCTCCCCAGGTGCAGGAGCCTGCACGTGCCCTTGTTGAGCGTTGTGAGGTTCCCCTCCGCCCCACTCTCTGTCCCGAGACAGTTTCCCCGCAGAAGGTGCTGCCTTTCATTGAAAGCTGCTGCTGCCCCTCCTGCGCCCATGGCACTGATGGCAGAGGCCCACACCCCCCAGCCCACGGTGGCCATGTAGTTCCCGGGCCATGCTGGGAGCTGTAGTCCTGGGGCAGGGGCTGCCGGGAGGCCGTGTTTGTTCATTTCAGGTCAGCCACATTGCTCTGAGATTGCAAGTTTGTGGCTGGTTTGGGGTGTC